ATTTGTGAGCTGCGTGTTTATTGCTCGACCTGGTAATAATAACTGGTTATTATTCATTACCTCCCCTGGCGAACCGTGCTCAGTACGCACGAACGTCGACGATCACCCACACAACCAAACGCGAATCGCTCTTTTCTTCTTTTCCTTTCATATTCTTTCCTTCTTTTTTTCCGACTCCTCTCGAACCGTCGAGGACACGACGATTCGTGAAATATCGCGTTACTGCTCCCCTTCAGGGGGGTGCCAGGGAAAAAGCGACGCGTTATAAACTACGAGGGAGGGAGATGTACACCGTGCAAAATCCAGAAGAACCCGTTGGAATTCGGAAGCGTGGACATCATCGAGCCGGGTATCGATCCGCGTCGGAAAGATGGACGACGTAATTAACCCCTTGGCTACTGATGGGACCAATTCAATATGTACTCGCGGAACCAAGTCAAATCTATTTCGTTCACGTGGTGGCGTTCGATTATCGCTAGATATTTATGCAAATTTATATCGTTCATAAAGGAACGCGTGATGAATACAAATAACAGTGCTAGATCGCGTAATTAGATCTTACCGGTGGAAATTTTCATAAATATCAGAGAAATGTCAGATAATTCTCAGCAAAGACGTTATTCATCATGTCACTGCACTGTATAACACAAAATATTCCAGCAATCTGCGCATGGTACTGCTCAATACAGCATATTTCACCATTACGTGTGACAATATTGCGAAATACAGAAAGATGCTAAGATGGTCGAAGATCGAAATAAAAGTGCACAAGTAAATGTGCATTAAATATTGCCGTTATTTTGATCTCGACGTGAAACAAAATTGATTTTTTAATTATTACCAGATGTTCCATTATATATTTTATAATATTATCAGAGTCAGTATGCAACAGGAAAGAATTCAATGAGGCTGGTACAAAAAGATTTCCGAACAATGTTACTAATATAAAAAACATTGCAATCGTCTCTCATATTACAGACTCCAAAACAAAAATTCCTAAATAACGATTATTCATCCAGAAAGACGTCACCCAGGTCGCAGGGTGCAATTCGACACACCACCGAAACCAGAATTACCAATTCCGTCCGCGGTAGCCGCCCAAAGGAACGTGTCGCAATCGCGGCGGCGAGGCGAGAGAGTAAAAACCGTACAATATATCTGGGGAAGACTCTTGTCGCGAACCTGGGAGCATGAATAAGCCAACGGGCAAAGGTGTGGTTCCCAGGCGTCCACGGCGGAAAATCGCTCACCGGGGAAGAAAGATGGAGAACAGAAGCCAGGAGCGAACCAAGACGTGATTAATATAAAAGTGGGCGGAGCCTAGTCTGGCCGGAAGTAGCCGAAGAGGGATGCTGTGCCGTGCCAAGCAAGCGCGAAAACGGGGGTTATAGTGGCACAACTGTGTTGGTACACTGTACCGTATGTATCTTCGTCCTATGCGGCTGCATACACACCCGCCCCGGTTCCCCTCCCGCCTCACTCCCTCCTTCTCAACCCGTCTGTGGACACCGGCGTAAGCCTGAAGTGCCAGAAGAGGTGAGAAGATGGGCGAGCACACCGCGTGGCGGGGATGACGCGAAATATACACCGCGATTGACAAGCAACACCCTGCCAACCGATTCTCGAACGGTTCGAACGTGGAAGGCGTGACACGGTGGCTCGATTCGTAGCCAGGTAATGCCCCGTTCGATCGTGCGTCGACGTCGCGCACTGGACACTGCGAAATAACACGTCGATGAGGACGCGATCGAAGAAAAATTCGAGAACGTCGAAACACGAGTCTTGGAGCACTACGCGCGACTCGACTCGGACGGCAACCTGTTTTCCTCGCCGAGGAGGAAACCCTTCGAATTTTGACGAAATCTGGACCAACGAACGAAACGAAAGTGGGACCAGAAGCAGATGGCTGCGGAGGAGCGGCTGACAACCTTGGAGAGGCGCCCGGAAGATGGAAAAAGGAGAGAGGAGCGCCGGAGTGGGTTAGTCGATTGGCGAATATGGGATCGAAGGGAACCGGGAGATCCAGCGGGGGGTTTCGGAGACGCGGGTGCAAGGGTTGACGCGCGGGGGTGGCCAACCCCACCTACTTCTTTAACGCCCCCAAGTAGGGTAGGACCGCCTCCGTCTCTGCGTCGTTCCACCTACTACACCCCGGGACTTGTGCAGTCTCATAGCTACGCCACCCGCACACCATCATCCCTCCCCGTGGCTTCGTCTACTCCCATCGACTATATCCTCCTGAGAAAAATCACCTCTGTACCCAGGTAACGCGGACCGTTTCTCGATTGAAGCGTAACTGCCATTACCGAACGAATACACGACGTCGGGGCTGTTTCGACGGATGCTTCCATCGAACCCGGGGGGATGATGCCGGTTAACGCGTTCGCGGCAGGGAAACCGCGGGTCAGGGATACGTTCTTGGAAACTCTGATCTGTGCATGGTCTTGACGCTTTCAGACCTGAATTTTTCTTTCCTCGTTTGTAATTTTATCTTTAGGGTTAACTTAGACTGAAATTAGTGTTGGAAGAAGTAAAATAAAATTCTAATGGGGTAGTTTCCGAGGAAAGCTGGTCATAATTTTTAAATTTTGTGTCCTCAATTGTGGACGCCAGGTCTGAAAGGGTAATTACTAGAGTAATTTGTATAAAGCGTAGAGTTCTTAAAGCTTGAGATATTTGGGTAATTGATCATTTGAATGTCTTCCTTTATACCAAGAACTTGCTCACCTATCTTTTGCACAATTTCTATATCTCGTACTATTTTAATAAACGTGTATATTCGGTTTAAATTGAACAGATTGCATTGCTGATATAATTTGTATAACGTGTACAATAATTGAGATTTGAGTCCAAGGGGCATTTAACATTAAAACTACCCTATTTCTTGTATAGTGGCTGACCAAATTATCACGAACGCTTCAAACTTGCCACTTATTTGAAGTGTTTATCCTCAGTAACTATGATTGACTGCATTTTCGTGGGTACGGCACGCCTGAGGGAGATGAAGAGAACACTCTTAGAATAAATAAATAAGTATATTCTAAATTCGGTCAAGAATGGAAAAGCACACTTATGCTTACAAAATATATTGAAATATTGTTAACAACATATGACCACCATTTTAAAACTTTCACATTTCGAATAATACACTAAGGAATCACTGTTGCGAAAACATGAAACTCGATATTTATAAAAATAAGAGTGAGGATAAATTCAAAGTTCACAAAAGTTTACAATATATAATTTGATCACCCACTATACTGTATCTTCGAATGCAAAGCGAAGCAAATCACTATTTTCCATAAATACAGGAGAAAAACAAAAGAAAAAATATATTGAGTAAAACACATAAAATATAAAATACACGAAGGATAAAATATGTCATTTTCGTCACATTCATAATAATTTGATCACTCACTATACATACGACACCACAGAGTGTACATCCTCACCAAAACTGTCGTCAACAATTCATCAACAATTCGTCAATAATTCATGTAATTTCGGAAACAACTGCAAAGTACATCAAACTGACCAACATGACAAACATTTTTAACCAGTGAAATGGGTCAAAGGAATATTTCTAAACGCCCCATCATAACGCGACAACCGTTCTTCATTTCTTTACGCGTGCATAAAACAATCACCGCTGTCAAGCTTTCATGACAGAACAACCTCCGCTAATGTCGTTATAGTTTTTCCAAAATAAAAACGAGCGACTTGTCGCTTGCACTTCGCCCCGGCCAAGTTTAGGCTAAGCAGATGACATTACTGTTTACACGAACGAAGTTGTCGTGCCGGCCAATAACAGAGTGATTCACGGCGCGGTATTATATAATTCGAAACTCCAGGCAACGTCAAGGCAGCCGGTCCCTGCCAAGGTTATTTTTAGGAAAAATGCGTTTTGCCGGAAAGATTTCTGTACTAAGTCAGGTACGCATTTAGTTACTCGAACGTAGTTAATCTTGGAACCGTGTAGCGAGATTTATTCGGCCAACCATTCCGCTTGTCCGGCGCGCCTATTTGTCTTGTCAGGATCGTTAAAGTGTCATTTCCACGAATATCACTCGGGTCCGTTCAACGTAAGATCAATCAGACGTACCTCGAAGCACCGAGCATTTGTCTGCATTACAACGAGACTCGGTCCATCCCCAGGAAACGAAATTCATTAAAAACCCCAACAATCCCATACACCCTCCTCTTTCCAACAAACCCATTCGAAAATCACCCGTTTACGCCGCCACAAACTTAACGATACTATTTTAAACTCTTTCTATTTTCGCAGACGACCTAATTCCGTTAATTGAAAATCGAGTACCGAGTATCGATTCTATTCCCGATGGAATGTCACACTACCCGAATGGTTGTTCAACAATTCTCGATTCCAAATCTTGAGTACCCGATACATATATACGTACATATATTTCACCTGGAGTATTTCTACGCTTAATCCTATGTTTACGGGGAACGGTGAATCCCCGGTGACAAAACGCAACGTTACGAGGCCGCGTAACAAAGAGGAAAAGCGACGGCACAAAAGCGGCACGCACACCGCGGCGACACGAAAAGCGATAGATGCGAATGATTGGAGAGCGAAAAGAAAAGGCGGGGGGGGGGAGTAGGGAGAGGGGCAGGAAGGGGTAAATGAGGGCGGGGGTGAAAAAACAACGGGACAACAGCCGGTGGAGTAACGAGCGGTGGTAAGGGACTCGCCGATGGCACGTGGCGATCATCATTGAGTAAGAGCAATGCAAAGAACGGTTGAATGAAGCAAGCGGCGGAGAGTGATGAGACAAAGAGAGAGACTTTGAACGGAGAGAGACGGAGGTAGGTGGAGAGAGTACGTGCGTGATGGCGGGAGATGCGAGCGAATCGCATCGAGATCTCGAGAGACGGGTCAGGCAGGTAAAGCGGTGAATTTAGGCATCGAAGGGTAGGTATGTCGCGATGACAGTGCAGCGAAGAACGGGACTAAGTGTCGTGATGGGGTAAGTCTCTACCTGGACGGGTCTCCAGCGTGGTTCCAGCATGTCCCGCTTCCTCCTCGTCGTCTCGTTCGTGGCTGTCGCCTGTTCCTCCGTCCTTCTCTTGGTGAGAGTATTGTTCGAAGAAACGAAACGAAGACACACGACCCTTTTTCTCTCGCGTCTCCTCTATCCTCCACGGTTTTCGTCCTCGTGATCGGTACCTTTCCTCCCTGTCTATCGTCCTCACCCTCCCACCCCCTCTCGGTCTCTGTCTCTCTGCCACCTCTCTACCTTTCTCCGCCTCCCCCCTCCTTCCGCACCCCCGAGTCTGTGTACTTCTCTCCCCCCTTTTGTTCGTCTCTTTCTCCACGCGATTTCTCTCCTCTCCCGCTTCGCACCGTCTCTCTCCCTTGTTTTCCGCCTATCTATTATCTATCCTCCGTCGTCTATCTATCTATCCGTCTCTCCCTCCGCTTCTCTCTGTTCGTTGGACACCTCCGCGTGCGGCCGCGTACGCGCCACGTGTCTGCTCCCGTGAAAAGAGCGACGATCGCCGATTTCTCTCGGTGTGTCACGTGGACCGGAACCTCTCCGCTCGGGACACGTGCGCGCGGTTTCGGTATCGTCGGGGTGGTTTAGCAAAGGACGAACAGGTGTCTCGCCCACCGGCGTGGATCCCTCTCGAAGGTGGCTGCGTGGTATTTTTTTTTTTTGTTTTGTTTTTGTTTGGTGGGAGGGTTGGAGGGTTGGTATTTGTGACGGTGGTTGGTGGTGGTTGGTGGTGGTTGATCGGTGGCGGTGGTTAACGACGTGAGGCGCCCTCTCTGGCGAGTACCGAGCCGAATCAACCCCTGGTCTCGTGTTCTGTCCAACGTGCACACGTCCTAATCCTTCGACGTTGTTTCGTCGACGCCAGGAAACGTGCGCTGAACCGTGCGGAATTGAGAAGTGTAGTTTGAAGAAAAAGGGGTACCGCGCGCCGGTGGCTGCCGTCGCGACTGTGCGACGCTCGGCACCGCTTGGCCGCGAAACCCTACGGCCGCACCGAACACGCGGCTACTGAGTCGGCGCACTCGCTCGGCCTCCCTCTGTCTCCATCCCTCCCCTAGAACACGTCTCGCGATCCTCTTTACTCCCCTACATCGCTACGTGTTCCGCTCTCGGTCGCTCAGTTATAGCTCCGTTTCTGTCAGCCGCGTCTTCCTCTGCGTATAGCCGCTACTTGTACGTAGCCGCTTCTGCCTCGCTGTCTGTCGTTCTTTTCTCTCCGCCCTTCCGCGTATATACCTCGGTCTCTCTCTTTCTTTCGTTGTCGCACGCCACTTCTTGGATATACCAACGAGCACTTACCGAGTCTTCGTAAATACGCTTTTGGCCGAACGCGACAAGGAGCATCGATGCTCAGGAACGATTTTGAGATGCTTGAATTTTTTATCGTCGCTTGATTCAGGGCTTGCAACACTTTCGTATTTTTCGTGTACTCGCGATGAAACAATAGGGTGCAACGTTTATAGAAATCGGCGTCGTTGACGGAGATATGAGATGCATCTTAATTTTTAAGCAATTTAAAGAAAAAATAACATTTTTATTATTAGATTGCCCGTTCGTCGTTCTCTTCATATATAAGATGGTCTTCACTGCCATCGAATTAATTTCGAGTATAAGACGCATCAGAACTTTTGAGGTAATTTTTCGAAGAAAAAAGTGCAAGATTATAGAAACACACAGTTGATACTTTTAATTTTGATTTTATTTATTTATGGAAGCTTGATCTTTATTTAATTATGGTTGGTGGTAGTACGATCTTTATTTAATCATAAATGAAAAAGTATAAGCGAGAAAATGTTGGTGAAAATTAACAAGATGTAAATAACAGAATTTTAGAGATAGTGCTCAGCCTTTTGGTTAATATACAGTTCAATATATTTTTGCATTGACTAAGTAGTATAATTCCAATGGTATGCTTATAGTACATTTAATAGTATTTTACTTATATTGACAATGAAATGATAGTGTGCAATGTTGTGGAAATCATCGTCATTGATGTCTATTTGTACATGTACAACCAGTCTCATAAGCATCCACACCTCTATGTCTATCGAAGAAGTATGTCTAAATTAAATAATAGGTTTCATGTTTTCAAATAAATTTTTCATTATAATATATACATATCTAGTTTATTCATTCAGATATTCACAATGAAAAATTTATTTGGAAACTTATTTGGAAATTTATTCGAATTTATTTATAATTTGAATTAATTCCTTCGACGAACGTAAAGATTTCGAATGCTCATGGGACTGACTTTATATATCCATCCACGATTCTGTTATAATTAAAGTTTCCTCCACGGTGAGACCAGAAACACCCTGATACAGTTATTGCTCGAGGTATCGGCTCGATTCGGCCTAGTCCTAAAACCACACTAAAGCTGACGACCTATTCCGATGCATACATCACGCAGGATTTGACTCGTCAACGTTATATGCAGACATTTTCACCTAATCGTCAATTCGTAATTACCACGATAGATGATGTATCTAAAACTGTGCGCCTGCTGCGGAAGTCGGTGCGAATTGTTCTTTCATATAGAAATATACGTGTCACATTTATAATTTAACAACGTGTAAAGTTTAGTGCTTAAATCCAGTGTAACGAAATCGTCTAAATTTTCATGATTTTCCTGTTTCAAGTATAATATCCGTAGGAAGTTCGTAGAATGTTAAATCTTTTATCTAAAACAAGTAAATTCTATATAACTCTTTGACTGCGGGACGATTTTTGCTGGAAATTCTGAGATGCGCAGGGGTGTGAATTTCAAAAACAATATCAGCTTGTAGGGTGTAACAAGACGAAACTTCTTTGTATTTACAGTTCATTCACAGAACGTTTAGTTTCAGAGAGAAAAATTAAAAACTTAAGAGACTCTTTTCGTGAGATCTCGTATTGGTCTGATCCTGTTGCTGTTCTCTTTAAGAAGAAAGGACAATAGTTGAACAATCGAATTAAAAAAAAATACCATCTTATAGAGAATGACAAAACGAAACTTTTTTATATTTACAGTTCACTCATACGACGACGACGTTTAGTTTCAAAGAGAAAAATTGAAAACTTAGAAGATTCGTTGAAAAAATTCAACGAATTCAATTTTTCCAACAAACTTTTAACTTTTCAATTTTTAGTTTCGATACTAAGCGTCCTATGAGTAAACTGTAATTATAAAAAAGTTTCGTCTCATCATCACCTATAAGTCGATATTTTAAAAAAATTTTTTCGACGAATGTAAATATCTCTCTGAGTCCATTTCTTGAAGACGTGATATACACGCCGTTCGTAGTCAATTGGATAAACTCTTCTAAATCAGTAAACTCTTCCGATTTATTTTTCTCGTTAACGAATTTACTACTTTCAGAGGGTATCTCTCTCCCCCATACGCGAATGGTCGATTTCAGCCGGAAACAGCGAACGAAAGAGTGAGCAGACACTGTTGGAGGTTAGAGAAAGTTAGGCGTGAGAGTGACACATATTCAAGAAAGGAACGTATGGTGCGGAAGATTGGAACTGTCATGGTTATAATCGGAGCGATAGCGAATGATGGGCCTGGGGACAATGTGGCGAAAACAGGTCGCGGAAAGCAAGAGCGTGGGAGGCCGGGGGAGGGACTTCGCATCGGCTAGTTTGTTGTTGTTTGTTGTTGTTGTTGTTGTTCGCCTTGTTTCTCGACACGAAACCAAACCATCGCACAATGCCGCGAGCATAGGTATTGATAACAACCCTCAATGGCGTAGGAGAAAGAGGGATGCTACCAGAAGGAGATAAAGCGACTACGTGGATAGTAAACGACGAATACAAATAGTAGACGAGTGAATTAATTTTCGTAGCCTAATTCATACAATCTAATCAACGTATTAAAATTATCGAGATTATTCGAAGAAAGCCCCAAATTCCATGGCGATTAATTTCAAGTTGCATTCTGTTGATGATTATTTCAGAGAAACTCGCCGAGTCTCTGGGCAAAGAGAAAGCCAGATCGATCATTAATTCGCGAGTTAATGTTTCTCATTGAAAAGTAATAACCGGAAAATGCGGGCGAACGGTAACCTCTGTGAAAAGGACATCGTTATCGCTTAAAAGCTCCGATATTCGGCGAAATATCGCACAAACACCGTCATTCTGATGAAAAGATTGTCAATAACCTCCAACACCTGTTGCACAGTTTAGCGACGGATTTTATTCTCACGCGTCGGTTATATTCATTTATTGGCTCGCGGATTTCACGGGTCGCACACATCGTCCGCGTCGATGCACGGTCGACATAAACGCTTAATACGGTTCGTTCTACCAGTAATAAAACTACATTCGGTGAAAATTTCTGATAAAATTACATCGGCCGTGATAAATTCCCTCGAATTACCGTCCGACTAATTGTTATGCGTTCATTAATCGATCGTTGCGTTTAAAAAAAAAAAAAGAACGCGTCGCCATTCCGCGCGGCGATTCATTCGATTCTGGCCATTGTCAATTTTGAATCGAAAATAAAAAGGAGGCGGAAATAAAATTACCCACCGCAGACGCGTCCCTTGATGCCGGAAAATGTTACGTATTTCTCCTTGATTATAAGTCAGAGAATTTGAAAATGTAATTAAAAATAGAAGTTAGAAACAGAAGTAAAAAATATGAATCGAATTATTTAATCGGAATTGATTTATTACTGTTAGCATGGTTACAGGTCGTACACCAAGCTTGTTTACATTTTTTAAAACTGGTGTCCTCGGTCTTTGCTTTCTTCTTTTTTTTTTTTAATTGCGGAGAGTCCATGGTTGATTATGATGTATACTTAACGTTGTGCTAGTTTAAAATTCGGTCGGTGGTTCGTAAAAAAAAAGAAAGTTTGAAACAACAACAACGGACGGAAGGATCATGCCGTTGAACCCCTCAATCTATCCAGGTTGCGTGGGAGGTGCATTTCGTAGTGTTGTTGATTTTTGCATAATTTATCAAGGTTGTTTGGTTAAGCGAGCCGTTAGGGTGAGTCGCTGGGGTTGTCGAGCTCGGGGATTGCGCGATGGGGCGACAATTTCAGACACCCTTCGCCAAGATGATTAGCATCCGCTTCAGGGACGTAGTTATTCCAGTCTTTGCTACTAATTTTTCTGAAACCTTAACAATGCTACTTTATTATACAAACAATATGTTTCTACAACGGGAACAATTACCTTTTTAAATTTGCTAAAAGAATTGCTACAGGGATTGGTCATCCCAAGTGGCTGTCTGGAGTCTCTGCGGTTGTCTGACCATGAGCGACTGAATCTACTTGGCGGCAGTCCGGCATCTAGTTTCGCTTTATAAAATACAAACGTCGTCGCAGGCGTGATGTATTTATAATTATGAGAAAAAGACTTTGTAAACCACACCCGTAAGAAATTTGTTTATTATTTATAAATTTGTTTATTATTTATAAACAAATAAATCTATAACGAGTTATTATTTTTGATGAATTATGTAGTTGTTTTCGTTATCAACAACCTTTTGCTATCTAGTGTGTAAATTTTCAATACCTGATCGATAAAAATCAATTGGTGTAGAATAAGCTGATGAATGATAAACAAGTATTGACATTCGCAGAAACGAGGTTATTTTCTGGCTCGCCTAATACGGTGTTCATTGTCCTTGATTAAAAACAAAACTAATGATTAATTAGCAAACTTGTGGTCATTAAAATCATTTGTAGTGCACTTACACAATTACACAGATACAGTCAGTCCCGTAAGTCACCCTTTATGTCTATTGAAGAAGCTTGTCTAAATTAAATAATAGGTTCGATGTTTTCAAAGAAATGTTTCATTAATCATATAATGAAATCATATAATGAAAAATTTATTTAAAAACATCTAACCTATCTTTTAATTTAGACAAATTCCTTCAATAAACACAGTCTTCTTGTAATCTTCACATACAACAGACGCATTTCATCCACACCACCCTTTGATTAAACAAAATATCTGCCCTCCCATTTTTCTATTTATAACATAATAATATATTCAACAAAGTATTTCCACTTCCTCTACAAATATTGCTTCGCGTCATCGCCATTTTCGAGAGCATTCTTTCGCCACACTGCATGTATTTCATCCCTTGTATCCTGAAGAGCGTATCGATAGTCATAAACACGGTTCACCCCCGACGTTTCCCGTTTCTTAAGAGGATTCTTCGATTAGGACGGCCCTGCTCGACACGTAAGCAGGCATATCGCGAGTACAGGACGGAGTTGTTGAGGATGGGAATGGGTGGACGCAGGGTTGGCACACAGAACGAAGGGGTTGCGAGGGGCCGAAGGGGTGTCCAGCGGTACCGGGGAATGGGACACGGGTGGGGGGTAGTTCGAAGGGGACAAAACCCCGTCCTATACTATACTACTCTACAATAGTTGTTTACCAGAGTCATACTGATCGATACTCAGTGTTTGCTATCAGAGGGAACCATGCATGCCGGGCGCTACTTGCCCAACACCAAAAGTAAACACCCACCCCCGTCCGCTATCACCCCAACAACACTCCCACCGTTTCTCCACCGACTGGTTAGCGGCGAATTCTCACTCGCGCTCGCAGACACACGCGCTCCACACAATCACCGTCTCGCTCA